ACCTCGGTTAACGAGCTTTATCCGTTCCGGCACACAGTTCGTCATATAAAAAACTCCTCTTGCGAAACGTCGACAATCAAACTGTATTAGTTCACTGATTGACTGCAGGCGACCGAGGACCCATGTCCAGGGAGCAAGACTCAACGGCAGGTACAGGCACTGAAAACTCGTCAATCGAGACAACTTTTCTGCGATGGGTTCGATCATCACCTGAACTGTTCGTAGATCGGGCTGCTCGTTACCTGAGGCTCCATTGTAGTAAATACTCACACAATCCGACAACCACGTCATGAACCACTGAAGCTCAGTTTCGTTCAGACGCACTGTAGGTCCCACCAGACGTGCCGCTGCATTGCCGCTGCTGTTTTGCAGTGGATACTTCAACTGACTTAAATTAGGTTATCTAATTGTGCACAACTGAGTGTGTGATCCATACTTTATGCGTTTGGTTGATAAGCTACCTCGCGATTGGTCTGTCCGATAGCTGGGACTGTGACGCTACCCATGCCTCGTTGAACAGTCATCATAGAACGTTAATCGGTACTTAGGAATATTTTTAGAAGCCTTCTAAGTAGTCCCAGCTTCTGCATTTCCAAGTAAAGATAGAAACACGAAAGCCCTCATTATTGGTGCGAGGCATATGTGTGATCGTCTAAGTATTTCAAGAAAACTGTAATCTGCAGCGCATACCTTGTCTAGGGTTTAGAGTCGGTAGTTAAACTACTTATCTGACCATCAGATGCACGCACAATAAGCGTGATGTTTCTAGGACATGGTGTCTTCCCTGTGCAGCCCGAAGACAGATTGGCGACCTCATCCGTCAACATCATGACAGTACATGGTGAAATTTCTCGTATCCTTTTTGCTCAGTCAAATTCGCAATGTTTGATCTCATTTTAAAGCGGAAATCAGACACCACAGTTTTCTTTGATGTTCGGCAGTTCTACATGACTGCATTAGTCTCAGTCACTGGCAATAGGGCACGGATGAATGGCTCACCTTGGTGAGCACGTGAATTCTTAACCTCCTCGACACCAAATAAAAATTAAAAGAGGCGCGACATGAACTTCTGACGGCTGGCGGCCGAAGTTAAGCCACAGGTGGCCACTTCGAACTCCCTCGTCCATAGAACGTTTCAGACGGGGCATGCAAGTTTGTAAAACCCTCGCTATTATTCCAAGTCTTTCAGTTTTCACACGCCGAAAAGTGAACTTTGGACATATGCGGTCCCTCCAGCTGATGATTGATGTTCGGCCTAGTCTTCCCAGTACCAAGCACAGCTATTTTTCGGCCAAATATTCTGAATGACATCGCAAAAGTCATTCAGCAAAATCTATAGACAGGAGGGTATCGAAAGTTAAGTTACTTATTGCACTTATTTAAGATTAAGGAAACTTAGAGTTCCAAAAATGGCTGGAATTGAATCGTCCACTTACGTGTCTAGTTTTATTTTCGAAGACGTAGTATTTGGACGATGTAACCTATTCAAAGATACATTAACAGTGTGAAGAAAAACTCGAATAGAGAAAGGATTAAAGACGGGCGCTTACAAGGGAATAAAAACGCATGATATCGCTTAATTTCTGTAAATATTCCCATGAAAACTCTATTTGGCAAACATATGTTTTTGTCAGTTCGTCACCGGGCTAGGGAAATTGCATGGAGAATGTGACCGTCAGTTATGTATAGTGCTTATATGGTTCTCGTGGTGTGTGGGAGTGGTGGGTGCTTAGTCATCCTGTTTCTGCTACTGTTATCTGCTTATGACTCTGATAAAGAAGCCGCGATGGATGTCGAAACGTCGGGCGAATAAAAGTGTTGTCCAAGCGATCGAATCTTCTTCTTCTTCTCGCTTAGTCAGCCCTTCGTTCCTTCGTCTCCTGCATGCCAGAGTCGACGTGTTGGCGTACAGAGGGCGGACGTTCTCACGGTAGGATGCTTGAGGTCTAAACGTCAGACGCGCGGCGTGTGTTTGACTGTTCTCTGTGGCTTCGGACGGCGTGCGCTTCCCGTCTGTAGTCGGTTGATGGCCTCTGAAGCAAACTAAATAAGGGGTCAGATGTCAAATTGGTCTCTCTCTTTTAGATCTTAATGGCAGTTCTTTAGGCTGGGCGTTAACACCGGTTAAGTAAGAGTCGATCTTTTATGGTTTTGCCTTTGGAGTTTTAAGCCTACTTCATACTTTGTGGCTTTGAGGATAAGGGGTCTTTCCACAAATAGGGAACTTCTTATTTCGAAAAGGGACAGTTAGTTACGTCCTCGCCAAAAAGGTATGAGAGATTTTTACCACCTTTATTGCTTTAAAAGAATAGGAATACCAATAACATACAATTCGAAGAACAAGTTTTGCTTATATTTACGTAGGCGGGTAAAATGACATCTTTATAATTAGCCAGCGACCATAAAAAATTACCAATTTTTATAGTATTTCATAGGCGATTATCATCTGAATCAAAAATCATTCCGCATTCTTTATAATACAGGGACCACGTGTCTAGTAAACTATCCGTATATGGACTATTATATCACAAGATCAAGAGTACTCTGACTTAAGTTAGTACCTCGTTGGCCATCCACTTGCGGAGACCATCACATCAACGTTTCTTCAGATGTTTTTTTAATGAATTAGGTAATCAATGCACTGTATAGCCATTTTCACAGTACCAGAGAGTTACTTTGGAAAATTCAATAAGGTACATGTTTGGCGTTAATGAACCAAGGAAAATTGTTGACAAATGGGGGAATCCTGGATGATATATAAAATTAATTTCGCAGAATTGAACTACCCAGCGATCGAGGGCACTTATAGAACGCACCTGTGAACGAATGAAAATGTGTCGAGTTATTTTTAATTTAACGGTAGACTTTTAATCATACAAGAGGCTATGCACGAAGGCTTTTCTTGGTACTCACAATTATATGACGGTGCATCCTTCCTGACTCAAAATCCCAGCTCCATTAGGTTAACTAAAGTAAGCATCTTAAGCATCAGTTTGCACCCTCGAGCTCTGGACGCTAGCGGGCATGTCTGAGAGCGCTTGCCTAGCGTGGTTTACGACATTCCAAAACTTCCAATTGTCTGCCAAGTACATACCTTATACTATCTAAGGCACTGTTCTTCTAAGAAACAACCTTTTCTGCTCTTCTTACAGCCACAACATTCTTATTTGGATTGACACGTTATAAATACGTTGAGTAGCGGAGGCCTTCACTGGATAAGACGATTTCACTCAGTAGCAGTATTAAGACGGGTTTTTAGTCCAGCGGTGATACCCATGCAAGCATTCGGGAATTCAAGTTAGGCAAATGAACGTTTACGTTTAATTCATCATCAGGCAAATTCAATAATATAAGGGCGGGCAGCGTTAAAAAAAGTCTACGCTATCAGTCAGTGGTAATTAGGGAGAAAAGGTGAGGGAGAAGTGTTAAGAGATGAAGGGGATCAGATTCTAGCCTTAATTAGGGACCAGAGAGGGGAAAGGGGGAGGGAAGCGGTCCGACAATTAGTTCATGTCGCCCCGTCATCCTTGTCTCGAATATTTGGGAAGGCGTGTCACCGTCTCGTGA